TGTCGTCCTCTGTTGCTGGTCTATCTGTATGAATAAGAGGAAGAGCTCATCCAGGAGTGCAATAAGTGTCTCAAACCGTTTCAGATATTTATGGTCTTCAGAAAACTGCATTTTATATTTTTGCATGTTTACAAAGGACAAAAACAAAGCTCAAGCACTACATTGTTGATGCACTATTCCTTGTATAAACATGGTTTGTTTTTGTAAATTGATATCTTTGTACACTAGTATACACTTTAAAAAGACCCTGTCCGTTATAAGTCAAAATACTTGTGTACTTGTGTCAGTCAGCAACGTCTACTCAAACATTTTGAAGAATTACTGATTACAGAGATATAAAGAAAGGGTTTATTTCCTTTATATATTTCCTTAATGTGTTTTAGTAAACCTTAAACATTTGAAATGTACAACTGCATAATTTTATTATAATAAACAATGTTTATTTCACAGTGTGGGATTGCAGAGAATTTCTGTCTACCAGAGGGATGACCAACCATGAAAACTTCTGCATTGTCTTAGAGGATGAGTGAGTCATAGCTGGTTTGCAAAATTTAAAATTGCTGAACTGGATTTATACATGTATTCCCCAAATTAAAATCACTTAAAAAAAAAAAAAAAAAACGTATATTTCTGTAAGTTTCTGATACAATTTCACTGCTACAGCCTTTTAGGGAAATTTCACTGCATTGACTAATTGATTGTGTTGCTAATATTTTGAGATACAGATGTTATACTGGTTTTATATGTTATGCAATACGCAAATTCTGTGAAATTTAGTCTAAAATGTGACTATTCCTACAAAAGAAAGTTGACAATTTTTTTTTTTATCAGAGATTAAGATTGCTGTAAATTTTAAATAGATTTGTTTAACATATTGTACCATTTTATTATCAGTGGAACATGTAACAAAATTATATTTTTCAAAAATGTATTGTGTATTTCATTAAAAATGATTTATTTTACATTTTATGAATGTGTAACTTTCATCAATAAATTTGAGTAAATGGTGATTTATTTGCATATATTATAAAAGCACATTTGGCTAATAATATTAAAATCATCATCTACCACTCAAAAAATGTAGTAATTGTCACATGATTCATTCAAGTGGTTTTTGGTATAAAAAAATCAAGTCTTGAAATTTACTTAAAAATAATACGTGCAATAGTTACTACTATTTTTTTTATTAAATAGCACATAAGATTTTTTACAGTGTGCCTCAGTGTCATTTGAGCAGAAATCAATGCCGAGCTCTTTAAAATTACACATTTTACTTTGTTTTGCTGAAATTCAGTCTACAGAGTGTATCATTACAATTCCTGCATTAAAGAGCTTGGGAGGGAAAGAGATAAAATGTAAAAGTAATTCACTATAAAGCTCAAATTCTCAGTCTTCATTTAGTGAATGTTTTAAGGTTATAGGGTTTTCTTTTTTTTACCGTAAAAATTTTCTTTATTATATCCTTCCATATCAAATCTGTAATCCACAAAAAAGCCTCACTGCTGAATCAAAAACAGCTGAAACCAGCCTAAGCTGGTTGGCTGATTTTACCTGCTCGACCAGCCTGGTTTTAGAGGGGTTTTGGACATTTCCAGGCTGGTTTCCATTCGTTTCCAGGCTGTTCTTAGCTGGTTAGGCTGGAAAATTATCAACTATAACCAGCTAAAACCAGCTTGAACAGCCTGGGTAAAGCTGTTGCTGGTTTTGGCTGGTTAAGGTGGTTTTAGGAAACCAGCCTGAATATGGCCAAAACCCCTCTAAAACCAGGCTGGTTGACCAGCTAAAACCAGCCAGCGAACCTAGGTTGGTTTAAGCTGTTTTTTTTAGGGTGAAAGATTTGAAAAATTATCTGGATGCTAAAACAGTATCCTATTAGCATATACCGTACACTACACCAGTGTTTCTCAACCACAGAGGACCACCAGCTCGGCACATTCTCCATGTCTCCTTAACTAAACACACCTGATTCAGATCATCAGCTCATTAGCAGAGACTGAATGCCCTGTAATGGGTGTGACAGACAAAGGAGACATCCAAAACATGCAGTGCTGGAGGTCCTCCAGGAACATGGTTGAGAAACACTGCACTAAACAATACAAATTTGGGGTGGTGAAGTATTCTTTGCAAATTCCTAATTGTGAACTCATATTAGCAACCAACAGCTATCAAAGTGCAACATTTTTCACAGTTAATGAAATAGTGCTAATGTTGTATTTAAGTCATATTTACACGTGATTTCAGTCTGAAAATTGAATATCTATTGAATATCAGTCTGAAATTTGTATATATAAAACCAACTTTACCTCAAAAAAATGGGACGTAGGCTTACAGAAAAAAATCTTGTCATGTTGCATTGTCAGGGACGACAGAAAACTATTTTTGCACTAAACAACATTATATATATATATATATATATATATATATATATATATATATATATATATATATATATATATATATATATATATATATATATATATATATATATGCACTGCTAAAAAAACATAAAGGAAACATGGAGTCACGTTCTGGTGTTTAATAGTTCCCTTTATTTTATATATCAATGCATTATTATGCCAAGAACTGCATTAGATTTCTACAAATATCTGTGTTTTACTGCCATCTGCTGGTAAATGCAAGTTGTAAAGAAACTTTACACTTAAGCAAACACGTAATAAAAAAATCTTAATTTTCAAAATATCATCCCACAATCCTTGCTCTTCTCCATTGTGAACGAAGAATTGTTTGTTTAAAAACCCATCACTAGCAATCAATCATCATCATATTACTTTTACAGCAAAGACAACACTGGCATTGAAACAAAGGGGCTTTTTCATAATGACGCACAATAAAACACTTTCAATTTATCAGGGGGAAAAAAGGAAGCAAATAAAGCATTTGTTGCTCAGCAGTTTCAAACCTGACATGTTTATGATTGATCAAATGCTGGGTCTGTTCATTATGATTGAGGCGTTTAGAGATAACGACCCATTAAACAAACATTGCGTTGTAAAACAAGTGACATGTGATGCAAAAAACAAAACAATCTTTCTGTTCATTCAAATACAAAACACAAAGTTAATCACAGAATGCAAAACTCATTAACCCACAACAATGACCTCTGAATGCAAAACAACTCCATTTCTCATTTACAAGCAGTGCATGTAAATAATTATTCATGCTCAATCATTGTCTGAGTCAGTTATTTAATAATGGATGGGATTAATATAATTGATATGAACTGGATTCATCTGCAGAAGTGAAAATACCTGTTTATGGCATCACTGGTAGCATGAATCTAATTATAAAATATTTAATGTGACCAAAAAACTGGAATAAAATGTCAGATCACTGTGACTTTTTTTTCTATACCAGATGTCAAATGAAGCCAGTGTTTCCTGTCAATGTTTAACTCATTTTATCAGAGAACGTTTTTAGAATTCCCCATTCAACTGATTAAATCAAGGTTTGATATTGTGTCTTGTTGATTTACTTATGTGTGTCAGTAAAAAATAAGCAAGCAGAGCCAAGCTTTACTGAACATTACAACATATCATTTGTTTTAAGGCAAGTAACATTAGAAGTAGCTGCTTTCTGCTTCTATGGACCAAAAAAAAAAAAAAAAACACACACAAACAACAAAAAAAAACAGATTCTTCAACACACTGGAACAGGGACAAACTGTATGTTTGTCCAATCTGAGGGAACGGAGGAGGCAAAGAAAGCTTGATATACCTTTTGAATATTGAAAGTTAATCAAATATAAAATCTAACCCACTGATCCACAGAATTCATTTATGCATTTTCTTCAGTTTAGTTCCTTATTTATCAGGGGTCACCACAGAGGAATGAACCACCAACTATTCCAGCATATGATTTACACAGCAGATGCTCTTCCAGCTGCAACCCAGTACTGGGAAACACCCATACACTCTCATTCTCTCACACATACACACACACACACACTCATATACACTACTGCCAATTTAATTAATTTAATTCATATAGCACATTTCTTTGGACTGTGACGGAAACCAGAGGACCCGGAGGAAACCCACACAGACATAGAGAGAACATGCAAACTCCACACAGAAATGCCAACTGTCCCAGCCGGGACTCAAACCAGCGACCTTCTTGTTGTGAGGTGACAGTGCTAACCACTGAGCCAATGTGCCGTCCGATCCACATAATTCAAATCTCTAAATATTCTAAATGTATACACTTATGTAGAAAACTGCTGCTTTTTTCCCCCCAATAGTTTTGCTGACAGTTTTGCTGACAGTATATATATATACATACATATATATATATAGTTTTTTATATATATATATATATATATATATATATATATATATATATATATATATATATATATATATATATATATATACATACATATATATATATATATATATATATATATTTTTTTTTTACAAAAAATATTTCTCTAATCTTCAAAAGACAATTGTCAGCAAATCCAAAAGTAAAAAAAAAAATTTAGGCAACCAAAAACAAAAAACACTTATTTATACCATTCACCAATCCTTCAAGAACAACTGTTGCCCACGATAACTTGATTTTGTGATCACTTTTCTCAAAACTTGTGGCATTATTTGCTTCAATTCTTGTGTTTTGCTTCAATTCTTGTGTTTTGCTTTGTTCAATCTTGAAAAACTTTCCTGTTTTGATCCCAGGAACCATTGGACTGGAGGACCCTGGAGGAACCGGTGTCGATTTGCCCTACCATGTGAGATTGTCCTACCTTCCATTCAAAAAGCAGGCAGCACATTTTGATGACGCAATATGCTACCCATGAAATTGTGCTACCAGTGTAAATTTTAATGTGGATTAATGTGATATAAAGCTGTAATATCACCCTAACCTACCTAATCCATAACCCCAACCTCAAAAATCATTCAAATACAGTGTTGGTAGCATAATCTGATGGGTAGGATAAAATGTTAGGACACCAGTTTACAAAGCTGTCACAAGGATGTGTGTTTTTTTTCAGGACCTGTTTTAGTGATATCTGTCAGGTAATAGAGACATTTCTGTCTGATATAATAATAACAATGACAAGGGCTTAGAGCACTTATAACAGTACAACAAAAGTAAAAAAATATATTTAGAAATATAAGGCAATATTAAACCGCAAAGGCCCATGAGTAAATATTGAAAGTGCAAAAAGACTTGCATTTGTCTGCTAGTGCAATCGACCCTTCATTCATATCAGTACTTTTTATTCTTAACAGTAAAGGCGAGATTGAGGAGATTTCTCAACACTCAATGACACTTTTTAACAAAGCTCCATATTCCCTCAAACATGCCACTAAATATGCATTTGTAAGGCAAATTTGACTCCTCCTTGAAAGCTAAACAACATTACCAATATATATTTGTTGTTGTAGCTAGTTGCTTCTAAAAATAACATTTTCAGACAGCTCTGCAAAATGATTCTACATATAATTATATGAACATTGATGTAAGTGCAGAAATCACTGTGGTACACTCCCAGCAGTCACACAAGGTCATAAGGCGTTCATTCATATTACGTTTTGGTTGTGATGTCAGGTGACCAAAATACAATGTCTAGCCAGCGTCTATGGACAAAGTTATTTTGGTGTCCAATAACATCATCAAGTGATGTTGATATTTGGTTGATTTTAGGGTGTGTTGAAAATGTCCAACGTCCAACATCATATTGACGTCAAATACTGACATTTATTCCTTAGGTATGGCAAATAAAACCCAACGTCTGAAGGATGTGATGGTGGTAAGGTCAAGCTGTAACATCATTAGAAGTTGATATTTGGTTGATTTTAGGTTGGACGCTGGACATTGTTGTTGGCTTGACATTGGTTTTTGACATCAACCCGAATTTAATTTCCAAACAAAATGCAACATCCCCACGACTTTGATGTACATCATCAATCTGATGTCATGTGTACGTCCTGTGCCTGCTAGGCTGTATTGTTTTGGATATGTCCATATGGGTAGCTCCATCCACAGTGCAATATCATTGGTCCATTAATTGTATATTAAACATCAAGCATGTTCTGATTGGCTTTCTGTTGTTTTAGGCAGTGCTTCAATAAGAGTGTTGTATCGATTGCTACTGATCCTTTGACTTGCATTAGATGCTTCCCTGAGACTCAAAGAGACTGTCTTACTATATTTCACTTCATAAGTGATTAGTGCAGATCTCTAGTCCACCAAACGATGCCGATTTGGACAGGAGAGCTAGTCACAAAATCACACAGTGCAGCTTGTGTGAATTCATGGCTCTGTCTCCTCGCCACTTCATCTTTTTCTTCTTTTTCAGACTGTGCTCTGGAACTTGCTGTCTGAAATGGCAAAGAGCGAATGAAAGAGAAATGTAAGTATATAAATAGCTGATCTAAACTGAACATTAAACTGCAGGGTTATGTTATGTGGGTTGAATAATGTATAAGTCATTGAGAGTGAAAAATGTTTTATTCACCTGATAACTCGGACTAGTTCATGAAAGGCTCTTTCCACATTCATCGGGGGATCCTTGGCACTTGTTTCAATGTACGTAATCTAAATATTTAGAAAATTGAAATGATTGCACTTAAACAATTTCTTACAGTGTTTAAAAAGAGCAAGAGTTTCCTAAACACTTTGAAATGTTAATATACATTTTAGCTATTTTATTTTTAAATATTGTAAGTGTATATATATATAAAGGTTGGAAGTCAAGGTGACAGTAAATGTATTTATAATGATCTTTATATTTGTAACAGAAGTGTGAAAAGTGTCAGGTCCTCTGTCTGATCACCTGGGTTTGTTTGTGTTTTGCACTTGTTTACATGTATTTCAGCACGTGTGGTGTTTTGATCGCTCTCTCATTACATACTTGCTTTGACACGTCTCCACCCATCTTCCTACTCATCCCTATTATTCAATTAAACCAATTTCACTCACCTGTCTTCCCGTAATTTTCCCTCTATTTATATCGCTCTCCTCGTGTTGTCATTTGTCAGATCGTTGTCGTTTGGTTGTGGTCAGCGTGCACTGGTTCACTAGTCCTGTCCAGTCAGTTCCTGTTGTCTCGAGCCCGTCTTCTGGTTGGTTATTCCTTTTATTTATTTCTTCGTTTTTGACCCCTTTCTGTCATCTGCAGGACCTGTTTCTGTTTTGTTTATTCGCCGTGGTTGGCCGATTGTCTCCGATCCCCGGCATCAATATTCTCTCCCGTCACCTGTTCCACTCTTCTTCTCCCTCTCGGCTCCGCCGCCCGCCGGATCCAGTATACCACTGTACCCTGCCGAGTGAACTTGAAATTACAAATTTGATTTTTTTTCCCTTCTATGGAGCGGTTTCTGTTGACAGTTTTTTTTGAGCTCTTTCTTCTGAGCAACCTTGAAGTTTGTTTTCGTTTCATTTTGTTAATTTTATTTACCCTTTAAAGATCCCAGTAAATATTCTATCCTCTTCGGAGCAGTTTTTGTTGAACTTTCTTTTTTTTTTTTTTGATTTTTGATTAGATTTTTTTTTTCTCCCTGTGCTTAAGCCCAATTGGGTCATTTTTTTGACACTAATAAATTCTGAAAGAGACCTGCACTTGTGTCCGTTCTGTTCCTTGACAGAACGATCTGACCACTATGGACACAGCAGGTCCAGATCCTGTCAGAGCAGCGGTTGCCCAGCAGGGGGTGCTTTTGGGCCAACATGAGACCCGACTCAGCAACACCAGCAGAGAGGTGGAAGTGCTTTCCAATCAGGTGGCTGAACTTACCAATCGCTTGCAGGAACTCCAGTATGAAACCACACGGCAAGGTTTTCGCCATGAGCCTGAACCACGTTGTAATAATCCACCACCATATGATGGGGACCCTAACTCATGTCGGGCCTTCTTGGCACAATGTTCGGTGGTATTTGCCCTTCAACCACGCATGTATGATGCTGAAGAGACTAAGGTGGCCTTTGTGTTGACCCTCCTTACTGGTAAGGCCCGTGAATGGGGAATATCCGTTTGGGAAACAAGAGACCCCTGTTGCGCCTCTTTTGATGATCTCCGACTGGAGATGATGAGACTATTTGACCGGTCTGCCAGAGGACAGGAGGCTGCGGATCAGCTCGCTCGCCTCCATCAGAGTGGGCGATCGGTCACGGAGTATGCCATCTTGTTCAAAACCCTAGCAGCATCCTGTGACTGGAATGAGGGGCATGTCGATCCATTTTTCGTGCAGGCCTTGAGGAGGACATCCAGGATGAGCTCGCCACTTACGAACTGCCACACAACTTTGACGATCTTATTAATCTGGCTCTACGCATCGAGGCTCGCCTCAATCGCCGACACCAACGCAAGCTGATCCGGTCCTCTGGCAGGGTGGAGGGCACCCTTTCATCTTCCACATTTCCTGCTGCACCTGACCCTGAACCCATGCAAGTGGGTCGTTTGCGATTAACACCCCAAGAGAAACAACTACGTCTGGCCCGGGGTTTGTGCCTTTATAGTGGCAAACCAGGAAACTTTGCCGCAGTCTGCCCAGCAAAAGCCAAAGCCCACCAGTGAAACGGGGGATCCTGGTGGGCGCTATTCCCCTTCATTCCCCCTCTTCCCGTACTCTGCTACCCGCACTGATTCAGTATAGAGGTTCTACCAATGCCTGTTCTGCTCTCCTCGACTCGGGAGCAGAAGGAAACTTCATGGACAGCTCTGTGGCCAGCCAGTGGGGTATTCCAGCCATTCCTCTCCCTGATCCCATCCCTGCCCGTTCCCTTGATGGTACCCTGATTGCTACTATCTCCCATGCTACTCCCTCCGTAAGTCTTGTTATATCTGGAAATCAATGTGAGGTTACCACACTGTACCTTCTTGACTCTCCCAGTGCTCCCATAATTTTGGGACATCCCTGGTTGGTGCAGCATGGTCCTCATGTGGATTGGTCTGGAAATTCAGTTTTGTCCTGGAGTCAGTCTTGTCTTGGTCCTGCCCCGTTTCCTGTTTCTGTGTGTCCTGTTTTGCAGATGAATGCAGCGGATCTGACAGGGGTTCCGGCGGAGTACCTCGATCTAAGTCTGGTGTTCAGCAAGTCCCGGGCCACATCCTTGCCTCCTCACCGACCCTATGACTGTGCCATAGAACTCCTCCCAGGCACTTCTCCGCCTAAGGGTCACTTGTATTCCCTTTCTAGTTCTGAAAGAGAGGCCATGGACCAATATATAGATGAATCCCTTAAAGCTGGCCTCATCCGCCCTTCCTCGTCTCCTGCAGGCGCTGGGTTCTTCTTCGTTAAGAAGGACGGCTCCCTTCGTCCATGTATTGATTATCGAGGGCTGAATGACATCACTATAAAGAATAGGTATCCCTTGCCTCTCATGACTTCAGCCTTTGAACTCTTGCAGGGAGCCCAGGTCTTCACTAAGCTTGACCTCCGGAATGCCTACCACCTTATCCGTATTCGAGAGGGGGATGAGTGGAAGACCGCCTTTAACACCTCTATGGGACACTTTGAATATCCGGTCCTTCCGTTTGGTCTGACAAATGCCCCGGCTGTCTTCCAGGCCCTGGTTAATGACGTGCTGAGAGACATGGTAAATCAATTTGTCTTTGTGTACCTTGATGATATCCTGATATTTTCTCCCTCCATGCAGGTACACACTCAGCATGTTCGTCAGGTGCTGCAACGATTACTGGAGAATCAATTGTTTAAGGCGGAGAAGTGCGTCTTCCATGCTAAGTCAGTTTCATTCTTGTGGTTTGTGATTTCGACGGGTGAGATCAAAGCTGACCCCTCTTAGGTAAGAGCTGTTGCCGAGTGGCCAACTCCAGACTCTCGTAAGGCACTGCAGCGGTTCCTGGGATTTGCCAACTTTTATCGGCGATTTCATCCGGAACTTCAGCCAGATTGCTGCACCCTTAACAGTGCTCACCTCTCCTAAGGTACCGTTCATTTGGGGTAGCAAGGCACAGGAGGCCTTTGATAATTTAAAGTCCCGTTTTATCTCTGCTCCTGTCTTGTCTATTCCAGATCCGAAACGACAGTTTATTGTTGAGGTGGATGCTTCTGATGTCGGAGTAGGTGCAGTTCTGTCACAACGGTCTCAACGGGATGAGAAGGTGCATCCCTGCGCCTTCTTCTCCCACCGCCTGAGCCCCACAGAACGGAATTATGACATTGGTAATCGGGAGTTGTTGGCAGTCAGACTGGCCCTGGGTGAGTGGCGTCACTGGTTAGAGGGTGCAGTGCAACCATTTGTGGTCTGGACAGACCACAAGAATTTAGAATATATTAGCACGGCCAAAAGGCTGAGTTCTAGACAGGCCCGCTGGTCCCTTTATTTTAGTCGATTCAACTTTACACTCTCGTACAGGCCAGGGTCAAAGAACAACAAGCCCGATTCTCTCTCTTGCATATTCGGTGCCCCGGAGAGGGAGGTTTCAACTGACACCATCCTGCCCAGGGGCGTGGTGGTGGCTTCCCTCTCTTGGGACATCGAGAGAGAGGTTCTGGGTGCTGTACAAGAGTGTCAGATACCTAGAGGGAGTCCAGCGGGCAAACTATTTGTTCCCCAGTCACTGCGCTCCAAAGTTATCCAGTGGGGTCACTCATCCAGGCTGGCCTGTCACCCAGGAGTCAGGAGATCTCTGGCTACTATCCGTCAGATTTTGGTGGCCCTCCATGGCCAAGGATGTCAGGCGGTTTGTGTTTGCCTGCCCTATTTGTGCCCAAAACAAGAGTGCCAATTCCCCTCCTGTTGGTCTGCTCTGCCCCTTACCCATCCCTTCCCGTCCCTGGTCACACTTAGCCCTTGACTGTGTCACTGGCCTACCTGAATCGAAGGGCAACATTGTCATTCTCACGGTGGTGAACCGCTTCTCAAAAGCGGCACATTTCATTCCTCTCCCAAAACTCCCCTCTGCCAAGGAGACTGCTCAGGTGGTGGTTGATCACGTGTTCGGGATTCATGGTCTTCCGGTAGATGTGGTCTCCGATAGGGGCCCCCAATTCGTCTCCAGGATTTGGAAGGAATTTTGCCGACAGATCTGGGCCTCTACGAGTCTGTCTTCAGGATTCCATCCCCAGACCAACGGGCAGTCTGAGCGGGCAAACCAGGATTTGGAACGTACTCTCCGCTGTCTGACATCCAATAATCCCAGCTCCTGGTGCCAACAACTATCCTGGGTCAAGTATGCCCATAATACTCTACCAGTTTCTGCTACGGGTATGTCGCCATTTCAATGCTGTCTTGGCTATCAACCTCCTCTGTTCCCCTCACAGGAACCCGAAGCTGCGGTCCCATCTGCATTTGCTTTTGTTCAACGGTGTCGTCGCACCTGGAGGAAAGCTAAGGAAGCCTTGGCCCAGGCTAGGAGACGGACAAAAGCAGCGGCTGATCGTCATCGGACTCCAGCTCCCCACTATGTTTGTGGTCAACGGGTATGGCTTTCCACCAAGGACCTGCCTCTCAGGGTAGCCTCACGCAAGCTGGCACCTAGGTTCATTGGGCCATACCGGATCACTAAAGTACTGAGTCCTGTGGCTGTTCAGCTCAAGCTACCTCATACGCTTGGTCTGGTACACCCAGTTTTTCATGTCTCTAGGGTTAAACCTGTGTTTTCCTCCCCCCTTGTTCCCTCTATTCCTACCCCTCCCCATCTAGTGGATGGTTCTCCAGTTTACACTGTCAGGAGGTTACTGGAGGTCAGACGAAGGGGTAGGGGCTTTCAATACCTGGTGGACTGGGAGGGCTATGGACCAGAGGAGAGGAAATGGGTCCCAGCCCGGGATATTCTGGACCGGACGCTGATTGCAGACTTCCGTCGGAGACGAGGTGAGCCCCTCCAGAGTACGCCCGGTGGCGACCATGGAGGGCGGGGGGGGGGTTACTGTCAGGTCCTCTGTCTGATCACCTGGGTTTGTTTGTGTTTTGCACTTGTTTACATGTATTTCAGCACGTGTGGTGTTTTGATCGCTCTCTCATTACATACTTGCTTTGACACGTCTCCACCCATCTTCCCACTCATCCCTATTATTCAATTAAACCAATTTCACTCACCTGTCTTCCCGTAATTTTCCCTCTATTTATATCGCTCTCCTCGTGTTGTCATTTGTCAGATCGTTGTCGTTTGGTTGTGGTCAGCGTGCACTGGTTCACTAGTCCTGTCCAGTCAGTTCCTGTTGTCTTGAGCCCGTCTTCTGGTTGGTTATTCCTTTTTATTTCTTCGTTTTTGACCCCTCTCTGTCATCTGCAGGACCTGTTTCTGTTTTGTTTATTCGCCGTGGTTGGCCGATTGTCTCCGATCCCCGGCATCAATATTCCCTCCAGTCACCTGTTCCACTCTTCTTCTCCCTCTCGGCTCCGCCGCCCGCCGGATCCAGTATACCACTGTATCGCCCCCTGCCGAGTGAACTTGAAATTACACCCTGAGAGACATTTTTTTTCCCTTCTACGGAGCGGTTTCTGTTGACAGTTTTTTTTTTTTTTTTGAGCTCTTTCTTCTGTGCAACCTTGAAGTTTTTGTTTTTAGTTTCATTTTGTTCATTTTATTTACCTGAGTCCCTTTAAATATTCCCCAGTAAATGATCCCAGTAAATATTCTATCCTCTTCGGAGCAGTTTTTGTTGAACTTTTTTTTTTTTTTTTTTTTTTAATTTTTGATTAGATTTTTTTTTTCTCCCTGTGCTTAAGCCCAATTGGGTCATTTTTTTGGCACTAATAAATTCTGAAAGAGACCTGCACTTGTGTCCGTTCTGTGCCTTGACAAAGTAAAATGTATCACATAGTTTGAGTTCACACAAAGCTATTAAATATTATTCAACTAAAACTATCACTGTTTTCAACTAATCTACCAACAACTACATTTGCTAGAGTTAGTATATACAGTTGTTTTCCTTTTTTAGTATTTTTCTAAAGGAGGTCCATGTTTCAACATAACTATATATGTGAAGCCATTTAGAAAACTCTGGGTTAAAACAAATAAGTTAAGACAAAATGTTACTTGAGAATCAAATCAGAAGATTGCAACAATTTGAAATTTAGATTTATCAATGTTTGAAATTTTTTTTTTTAGTTTTTTTTTATTAAAATAAAAATCAGATTTTAAGAGGAATGTATTTTAAAATATCATGTTTTACTTTATACCGTATATTGATCAAATAAACACGGTATTGCTGAGTACAGACAACTCAAACACACACTAAAAAAATAAATCGTAACAACTCCACAGTTTTGAAAGATAATAACAATAATTATTAATAATGGATAATAACGGATTGATTTTAAGACCTTGATTTTAACTTTCAAAGCAGTGCATGGGTTAGCACCCAGTTACATCTGTGACCTGGTGACCCTTGCCACCCAAGCCCGCAGTCTTCGTTCTGCATCGAGAATTACCTTGTATCAGCCACGGTGTAAACTCAAGACCATGGGTGGGAGGGCTTTCTCATACAGTGCGCCTAAGCATTGGAATGCACTCCCCATCAGCATTAGGAATGCTGCCTCTCTGGACGGTTCTTAACTTCTTAAGACTTACCTTTAAAGCATTGCTTTTAATTTAGGATGGTCATTTCGTTAACTTTTTGTTCTATCTTATGGTTCATATTTTTATTGTTTTATTGCATCTTTTATTGTTAAGCTGTTTTGCTTGCCTTGTGTAGCTAGTATTTTGCCTTGTAGCTCTTTAAGTTTAAGAAAAGCGCATTACAAATAAAATGTATTATTAAAATGTATTATTATAACATATTTATTTATGCATGGGTATAGATGCCTGTTGAGGGCAATTAACCTTTAAAGGGTTAGTTAACACAAAAGATATCATTATCAATTACTTTAATTAATTACTGACCCTTATGTAGTTCCAAACCCCTGAGATGTTCATTTGTCAAAGCACAGGAAATATGACTTTTCTGTGCGCTTAAAACAAAATATTGAAATCATTCAACAGTTTCTTCTCCTCAGAGTCAGTATAGGGCTCACATTCAGTAGAGTTAATAAATGTATGCCTCGGATGTGCCTGTCCTTTGTTTCAAAGCAAGCCATGTGTGGGCATCTGGGGCTTTAAATCAAGTGTTTGTAAAAGTGTGCCCTATGCAGACACTACAGAGAATAAAAAGTTGTTTTATGTGCGCACAAAAGTATTATCAATGTTTCAAAATATTCAGATTAAGCCCCTGATGGCACATGTACTGACTTGAAGATGTTTTCTGGTATCTTTCTGAACTTTAAACAAGTCTGGACCATTGAAGTAAAGTGAGCATTGCAAAGTATGGTTACCCATACTTAAAATTGATCCTCTGCTTTTGACCTATCCAAATGCACACAACATGGGTGAGAACTGAAACAGTGAGCGTACACCTGAAGCAGTGGGCAGCTATTGCATTCAGTGCCCTTGGAGCAATTAGGGGTTAGATGCCTTGCTCTAGGTATGAAAGATGTAAAGCATTAATGAAAGTTCATTCACTCCCCTATCTTTAATTTCTGCCGGGACCGTGAATCAAACCAACAACCTTTGATTACAACTCTCTAACAGTTAGGCCTTAAACTCCCTAAACCCCCTAAGCCATTAGGCCACAACTTGCTGTCTATGGAGGATGAGAGAACTCTCAGATTTCATCTAAAATATCTTACGAAGGCCTCAGGGGTTCGGAATGACATAAGGATGAGGAAATTAATAACAGAATTTTAATTTTTGTGTGAACTAACCCTTTCAGTCAACACAAGCACAAGCACTATAAATCATGACCTCGCTGACAATGAAATCAGTCTGCATAAAGCAGTGCACTGAAGTCTGGCAGACTCACATTGTGCTTGGCTGCCATTTCACAGCCTTGTTCATTTGTCACTTTCCTCAGATGAACCAGGTCCACTTTGTTAGCCACCAAAACCATAGGGAAAGACTCTCTGTTGACGATATGAAAGAAACAGAACATTTTTTAATCAGGGATGCAGCCGTTCTGAAGAAATAATCAGAGTTGTGTACAAATGATTTCTGACCGGTCTTTCACACGCAGGATGAGCTGGTGAAAGCGGTCAACGTGTTCAAAGCTGGCCTTGTCTGTCACAGAGAACACAATAAGAAAACCGTCACCAGTCCTCATGTACTGCTCTCGCATGGCACTGAACTCCTCCTGACCTGCTGTGTCCAAAACTGCACAAGAGACAAGGTAACCTTCATGTCATACTATACTGTAAAAATGGAGTAACATGGAATATCAAAGAATTGTACAAAAATTTGTTGAATTAAAATGAAACAAATGTTATGAATCTACTTGTGTGTATGAATAAATGGCAGGGTAATTGTCACAGATGAGCTATTTTATAGTAAAATGTGCTTCTCAATAATAATAAATCTAATGATTGATTCTCCCTGTTTTATTTTAAACAGGATTAAAACAGAATCAGAAACAAAAGACCTCATACTAGTGTTCCTAAAAGAATATTTTTCTATCTAATAAATTGTGGCTAAATTAAGTAAATGGTCAAAATTTTGATAAATACATTTTTAATCCTTACAAGTTTAACAATTAACATAAAGTCCAGAAAATTAAAGAACATTTCCTAGATTACATTTAAGAAAAAAGTAAAACATATTTCATATGGCACTTTATTTACCACATTTTAGGTTTTTAAAAAGTTTTAGGCTTGCTGTTTAAAAAAAAATACTTGCAGTATATGTCACAATAATGTATGTTTTATTTTATTCTTGTATTGTTTAAAATTTATTTTATTTCATGCACTCATTCTCCTGTTCTAAATACAGTGGTCAACATTTGAAGTGGATCAAGAAGTTATTCTAAAACTACTGAACAGCGCCCATTCTTGTCTGAGGACAATTTTGAAAAGCATTTTATCAGTTGAGATAGCTTTTTTGGATCATAGCTTACCAACTTCAACCAGTTTATTTAAAGGGGACCTATAAGGCTGCTGGGCTGCTTAAGATGTAAAATAAGTCTCTGATGTCCCAAGTAATTATACTAAGTTTCAGCTCAAAATACCACACAAATAACTCTTTGAAACTGCCCCTTTTGGCTTTGATCGATATTGTGCCATTTTGGCGACTGTCACTTTAAGTTCAAATAAGATTGTCCTCTTTCAAAAGAGGGTGGAGTCTACAGTGTTCATCTGTACATCTTAAAACTTCACATTAATAATCCTCTTAGGTCCCATTTACACTGCTAGTTAAATGTGACCCAGATCGAATCTGTTCTATGATGTATAAACATGGAAAAAAAAAAAAAAAAAACGCATACATTCAGAGATTCAGAGATTGGTTTCAGGCCTCCTTCATATGTGAAAATAAATCAGATATAAATCGGATATGTGACAATGCGACTATCATGTAAATTGGCAGATCAGATTTATTGAGGCATTCCGTTTAGTACGGTATTAAACTTGCGAAAATGTGGTACTTCTCTATGGTTTGATGACGTAGAAGGAAGAGTGTTTGTGGAGACGCCAACGGGGTAAACAACAGAGAAAACATGGAGGAGGAAAGTGGTCAGTGGTCGACAGCAGAAGTTACCTGCCTTCTTGCTCTGTGGAGAGATGAGTCAGTTCAAGATACAATTAGAGGGTCCTACAGAAACTAATCTGTTTTTGAAGATATTGCGGCTGCAATGGCAGCCCTTTCCCTCCTCCTCCGCCTCAAAATCATTTTAAAGTTGGGCAAACTTCGCATATTTCGCAGAGCTAAAAGCAGTAATTTTTTTCCATCATGGCTAGTGTGACGCAGATGCTAGAACCTACCTTTACACATGCGCGACGTTGTAAATTGTATAGCAAGTGTAAATACATGAATCAGATATGAGTCACAGTTAAAAGAACGTGTAAATGGACCTGACATTGTAAATATAACAGTGAAACGGTACAGTAAAAACTGCTGGCTGCTTCTCACTCAGGGCTGTTTATGGTAACGAGGAAGAGGTTGTCACTTATGGGGGGCTTTTTTTTTACTTTTTTTAGTTTTAGATGGATTTCCATTTACTATGACTTTATGTTGTAATTAGGCTTTGATCAACTGCAAATACACAATCACATGAGAGAACTTAGATCATTAATATTACTTTACGATACTATAAAACACCGATAATGAGGTATTGGAACATACCATCCAAAATAGCCCACTGGCCATCGATCTCTGTGTGTTTCAAGTAGGAGTCTTCTATAGTAGGATCATAATCAGGTACAAAGATCTTTTGGAAAAACTGGATGGTAAGAGCACTCTTTCCCACACCTCCGTCTCCCACTACCACCAGCTTATATGTGGGCAGATTGTCACCAGGAACCGCACTGTTAGCCATAATAACAGCTACACCTGAGAACAAATTAAACACGACACGGTTACCTTTATAGTAAGCATATGAACAGCAAAGGTAATTATAGTAAAAAAAATAAAATAAACTACTAGTTATCCACATACTACCACAAGTAGGGATGTAACGAATCACAAATTTCACAGTTCGAATCACACTGCAGTTTTTTAGTCACAGATCGGACCATTTTTCAGATCATCATAAATGGGAGAAGGCTAATGTCATTCACTTTCTATTTATTACAAAAACATAACAGAAAGAAACTTTTGGTTTTAACAAAAATAACTTAGAACCTGTCATTTTAATAAAACTCAAGAAATAACAACCTGAATTTAAATATTTCATACTTTATTTCTTCTTATTATTATACGTTTTTATAAAATGACATTTAATGAGGCATTATTTTATTAATTATGCACTAATTTGGAAAATCACCAATGACACCTCTCCCTCATTGTCCCACAACCCCCACTTTGGGAACCACTGATTTAATTCTATAAGCATCAAATAGGTGACAGTGCTGCACATTTCTTCTGTTTTACGTGAAATAAAGCTGAAAGTGGTGATAAGAAGGGTCAGATGAGGTTTTCTGCGGTTTGGGAACAATTCTGCACAGAGCTCATTTAGAATAAAGAGATGCATTACAAAGCCTTTGGTCTAGACGCAACCACTGTGGTTGTTTATAATTGCTGGTGTTTTCTGCACAACACAAGCCTTGAATTTTCCAAACCCAAAGTAATTTTTTATTTTGGATTGCAGCAAAAACAGAATTACACTTCATTAAAGCTTTATGATCTTTTTTAGAGACTATGAAAATGAGCACAAGTATACTGAATAGTATAAAGAAAATAAAGAAAACTCATAATTAACTAATGAATTTATATCTCTGCACATGAATTCTTCCCCTTCCTCTTTAGCTATCTCACAATGTTGATTTCTTCCACTCAAAACGCACTTCATATTTATGAAAAAGGGAATAGAAACTGGCTTGTGACTTTCTGGAGGGTAAAATGTATTTTAAAGTGCCCTGTGTAAAAGATATTACACTGTGAAAATAGATTATTATTGAGGAAATGAACAGACAGTTTAAAATGGTTTGTCCTTGAATAATCTTAGAATTTTTATTATACATTAACATGAAATATTCCATACAAGCAGTATTATTATTTTCTTTATGTATATATTTAAATATCTGTAAAGATTAAAATGTGTAATTGTTAATCATTATTAGGTTTAAATGATATTGTAATCATAACTATACATATTGTAATAATTTTGCTATAAATATGGACATTGATTTCCAATAAATAAAAAATAGACACTGTGCAAAAACTATTAACAACAGCAAGATTCACGAGCAAGTGTCTATTTTTATTGGGTTACCGTAAATAAAAATTTACTTAAAGGTTGTATGTTATTAAAAATGCTACTACTTTACAGTCCAGTTCCACACTTACATAATAACTACTTATTATACTAATTATATCTATAACTTAAACCCATGAACTTTAACTCAAAGCCATGTGATTATCTTAAATTACCAGTGCTAAGTTAGTACTCTAAGTACTCTAAATTAAAGTACAACCGAAAAAAGTTAAACAATAAAACACATTTTCTTACCTAAAAAGAGTACTGTAGCACAGAGCAGAGTTTGAGAAAGATGGAAGTGTTTGGTCGGCCTGTGATCAGGGCACTAGGCTATTCAGGAGGAAAAGTCTGTCAGTGGGTGACGGCCACCCCTTCCTGCGGCCCACAATGTGAGGAAGGAGTAAACTTCCTTCCTAATTCCAACAGGCCTGGACATTTGACTGATCTCACTTTCATTAGGGAACTAAGAGACACCCCTCAACCAAACAAACACATGATAGAGACCTTAAACTGACCTCTTTACAGGTCATGTACTCTAGTAACAGGCAGCTGGCATTCAGCCCAAAATTCATAATGTCATTATTGTTTCACCATTATTTTATTAATTGGAAAGTGACACAAAGTGTTTGATAAAAGTCTCTTTCACACTTACAGACTTTCCAGTAAACTGGCTTGAAGAGTTAATTTGTCGACATGTTCTTTTTAAAAACATCTGAAAATGAACCCTTTTCACAAGCCTGTTATGACACGTTTCACGGTCATCAGCATTTTAAATCCTTAAAAGTTATTAGTATTTAGATAAAAAATAATGATAATTAATATGCAATTCAGTATGTATTATATCACCTTTGCTCCAAATTACAAAAAACGAATTACCGCTTGAGACATTTTAAACAGAGTCTATGGGACAGGACAGTAAATTTGACGTTATTCTCTGCTCTGGCTGCAGTCATCAGTCTTACACTATTTTTTTTTTTTTTTTGCTTTTTCTGAACGTCTTTATAACATATTTTTTCTTTCATTATTTAAACAAATAAGATTATTAAAAAATATTTGTTGTATTCTTCCATTCACTGCGCTCTAAGTTTTCCTAACTATGACCAACTCTGCTACTGTGAAACCTGGAAATGTGAAAAAGATCTATTTGTTTCTAAATTTTTTCAGAAATTTTTTTTGGATTTTCTCAGTGATGTCATAGAAAAACAATGTATGCTGTAAAAATATTTTAATAATCTAAACTGAAAAAACTTTTACAGAGGGTATTTACATTTGTAAATTTGCATATTAAAATGTGTATTATCAGGCAAATTAATCTTAATGCCATTATTGCTTCACCATGATTTTATTCATTAAAAAGTGACAAAAGTTCTTTTCACACACAGACTTTCCCATACTGGTTTGAAGAAATCATTTGTTAACTTTTTAAAACATTGGAAAATTAATTCCTGCATTTTTCCGGACAATAAATGCAAAAGTTAAAAGTAAAGGTCCAAAAATGGGATTTTGTCATGTCAGTGAAGAACTATTAATGGTGTGTAAATATATTTTAATAATCTGAACTGGAAAAAAAAAAACTTTTACACAGGGTATTTATAATTGTAAAAGTATTTGTGGATTTGTAAATTAAAATGCCTCATTAAATCTCTTCAGAATATAGATATGAATAAAACTTTAAAGTATGGTCTGTATACATGCTGCAGAAGTGGAGATTTATGCCTCACTGCAGAAGAAAAACACTATGAAAAACCAAGAAGTTCCAAATCTAAAAATAATTAAGAGCCTGGAAAACAAACAATATTCAATCTTGAAAACCAAAATTATCCAACAACAGTATCACTCCAAATACACGTTTTTTGTTGTATTTGAGAAACTTGAGTTTTAATTTTACAATCTTAAATATCATTTATTCATTCATTCATTTTCTTTTCGTCTTAGTCCCTTTATTAATCCAGGGTCGCCACAGCGGAATGAACCCCCAACTTATCCAGTACGTTTTTACGCAGCGGATTTCCTTCCAGCCACAACCCATCTCTGTGAAACATGTATATATATATATGTGTGTGTGTGTGTGTGTGTGTGTGTGTGTGTGTGTGTGTATGTATGTATGTATGTATGTATTAATGTATATATATATATATATATATATATATATATATATATATATATATATATATATATATATATATATATATTTTTTTTTTTTTTTTTTTTTTTTTTTTTGTAAACTTAAAACAAGTTTCCCAAATACAATATAAAACACCCATGTAAACATAGATTAGGTTCTTCTATACATGTTATATTACTGACAAAAATAATAATAAACGATCATCCGTGGCTACTATATAGTATAATACCAAAAAATAAAATAAAGAACAAATAATGTGTTGTCACGTGCATCACAATGACGTAATGTTTTACGCAGCATAATGACGTATCCCGTTAGTCACTCAATTCGAAAGGTATAAACCAACAGTTATGAAGGGTTTTTACACATTACACATAAGTGTGATATTGTCCGGTTATCAAAAACCTTCATCAAACTCTGACAGCAAACTTACCAGTGATGGGTTGGTCGATTTATCAAGTGTGCAAAGATCTCGACTTCCCCTCGACATTCCTGTTTGTTAAAGTGCAGGATATTCAACAGGCTTTCAGAAAAGACAGAGTCTGCCTTTCAGAATAAAAGAAAAGTTTAAACATTGTCCCACTCCAGTCCTCACCCTTATGAAATTACAGTGCAACAATCTTCACATCGCAACTGCTGATGCTATAAATAGAATGGTTTCGCCCGGGTGGATGCTTATTTTCTCCCCTTTTGTCAACTTTTGTAGTTCATTCAATGTTAATCCCACCAGCAGAACATATAATAACAGTCGAATACAAGTAATAGTGAATATTTACCCACGTCTTCTTGTTTAAGACCTGTGCATCGCCAGAAAAACGAAAGAATCTTTCCCCACAAGAGCGAATGGACTGTTCCTGTGCAGCATCATCATCACTTTTAAAGCGGCAGCTAAGTTTATTACAGTACAATTCAGATGATGGAGATCCAAACGAGATGCAGACACTACATTACATTACACTCGAAGGATCAAGGACAGAATAATTGTATATTTTGGTTATTTATTATAAGAGGGAGACATATGCAACTGTAACTTATAACAAAAAATATTGTATGGGGTTAGCATTTATTTAAAATATGAGAGAGTGTATAAAATAAAAGAGGAATTTAACAATATAAAAGAAGAAATAAAATAGAAAATAAATGTTAGAAGTTTTCCAATGCTCTGACATTTTGATAAAAGTGTGAGTGGTAAAAACAGATTATGGGTAAACAAAATTGCTCTCGTATTGTGTTCATATATATCGATGACTTGTTTTTTCGAGTCAAAAAGTTTTATTCCTGCAGGAGGCGCTATTTTGCTCAATCTTCACCTTCACTTTTTCTGGTTTCTTAAATAATATTTATCTTAATTACACGTGCGTGCCGAACAGCCCTATTATCGCCGATAACCACAAAATTTGATATTTGTGTTTTTTTTAACTCCCTATTTTTTAATCCAAAAACATCTATTACAGCTTTTATTTCATTTACATTTTTTATGTCTGTAAAACCGCAAAGCGTCTGTGCTGTCGTAAAGCTATCGTAAAATATCCACAGTCGGCGGGCTGTCCTTGTGAGAATGAGCATAAAGTAAAAGGTAAGAGAATATACTTTGATGTTGGTTAAGAACAGAATCCAAACATTATATCAGAACTATATAGCAACGTATACAGATGTATCTAAAGATTCTTATGGAAAAATAGCATAATGCATTTACTATCCCATCTTTGGGAATAGTAAACAGAAGATCAGATCTCCTGGCAGTTTATGCAATTGAGGTTAAGTTGGTTTTATAATCACACATTCGTTCAGTGAAAACTTGTAACACGCACTCAATTTTGTTTACCATGATACTTATAATATTCAAACTGAAATCACATGTAGAAATGACTTCAAAACAACATTAGCACTGTTTAATTGACTGTGAACAATGTTGTGCTTGATAGCTGTTGGTTGCTAATTTGAGTTCACAATTAGGAATTTGCATTATTTGCATTATTATTATTTGTATTTGCATTATTACGGAGAAAGTCGTAACGTGTGAATATAAAACCAGCTTTACTTCAATGTTTATACAGTGGAGGTAACAGCAAGTGACAGCATTGCACCGTGTTCAGCAAATGAAACCAAGAAATAAAATGATTCAGTTTTCCGACTCTAGTGCAGTCTTACTATCAATTCAGTCGTTTACATCCCAGAGCAGACAAGACTTAATCATCAAAATATACTGGACAGGCTTAGCATAGTGATTTATGTGGGTACCAGCTCATAGGGGAATTAAAGGAAATGAAATGGCTGATTTACTGGCAAAAGATGAAATAAAGCAGGATAATGTTATGGAGATGTCATTCTGAAAAGAGGAGATCAAAGCATTAATTAAAGACACATCAGTATTAAATGGCAAAATAAACGGAACAATGCAAATACTATAAGACATATTTTTAACATTTAAAAGAAAGCAGGAGGGATGAAGAGGATAAGGAGAAGTACATTGGATGGATAATGTAATATCTAGATTAAGACTTGGGCACACTAGATTAAATAACACTTTACATGTCATTGGGAAACATCCTACTGGTTTATGTGATTGTTGTCAAGTATAAGAGTCGGTAGATCATATGTTAAGTCAATGTCAGTTGTATAATAATGAAGGGAAAATATCCAGGAAACAATAGAAGTAAATCAAATACTCAGCCAAACAGAGAACTGTAGTTATTTAATTTCATTTTTGTGGGGAAACCGGACTAATATAATATAATACTAAAAGAATATAATAGTCTCATAGTCTATTATAGTCTCAGTCTCATAGTCATTCTGGTTCACACTCCAGTATAATAGGGGGCGGCAATGCAGTGTAAAGTTGGATGCCTCCTGCCATAAAATAATGAGAGGTAATTTATGCTTTTTTATGGTGTTTAAAGATTGCTTTCCCCCAAAATACCTATTTACCTCATAAATTACATTTGGTGTCTTATTCAAAAATATACAGTTGAGTTTGGAAAGGAAAGGCTTGTTAAACATTCAGTTTACAACATATTTTTAAGCAAGCTAGTACATTTACAAAAACTGCAGTTTTTAAAAAATTATATTTACATAAAAGGGCTTATTGATTACACTGACTATTGATTATTAAGCTAAAATGCATCATGTATTGTAGTTAGCTTAAAACTTGGTAAAGCATTTGTTTATAAACATTTGTAATTATTTATTATAATATTTAAAAATGCTTGAATATTTATTTTTTGGTGTTGCCATCCACCTGTGAATGGACAAGAAACATGTCCAAACCCTAAATCCAGCGTTAATTTGTTAATCTGACTTAATGTCATTTTATTAATTATTTTAAACTTATTTTTAACTAAACAATGGGAAACACCCATACACACTCTTTCACACAAATACACTATGGCTAATTTAGTTTATTCAATTCAACTTTATAGCGCATGTCTTTGGACTTGTGGAGGAAACCAGAGCACCCGGAGGAAACCCACATAAACGCAGGGAGAACATGCAAACTCCACATGGAAATGCCAACTGACCCAGCCAAGGCTCAAACCAGTGACCTTGCTGTGAGGTGATTGTGCTACCCATTTTCATAAATTTTTTTTGTTTTTTAAACTTTCGAAGAAAGGTTAATATCTATAAAAATCTGTTAACTATTATTTTATTTAACCCCAAAGCCCAGTAAGTCCAGTACATCCAGGGAGACTAAGAATTTCAAATAGTCTCTGTAATATTTTCTATAGCTGTATATAAGGAAGACGCGGTGGCTTAGTGGTTAGATCTGTCACCTCACAGCAAGAAGGCAGCTGGTTCGAGTCCTGTGTGGAGTTTGCGTGTTCTCCTCGTGTTCGCCTGAGTTTCCTCCGAATTCTCTGGTTTTCCCCACAGTCCAAAGACATGCGGTATAGGTGAATTGAATAAACTAAATTGGCTGTAGCGTGTATGGATGTTTCCCAGTACCGGGATGCAGCTGGAGGGGCATCCACTGTGCTGGTGGTTCATTCCACTGTGGCGACCCCTGATGAATAAAGGGACTAAGCTGAAGGAAAATGAATGAGGGAATAGCTGTATATAAATATACATTTTATGTACAATGCTCTGTAGTACAAAGTATTGATTTTTTTTTAATAAAAGTAAGATTTTAAAAACCTATTTGGGCATTATTTAAATCAGAGATGCCCAAAGTAGGGCCTGCAGGCCAAAGTTGGCCCATTGTAACCTTTGATTTGGCCCACCATCCCATCTGAGAGGAGAGTGATGGAGAGGGATGGGGTTAATGACCATAACACAGAGATCATCATTTCTAATTTGACGTAAACTTTTTGTTTGTTTTGTAGAATTACTGTTTGTTTTAAAGTTACAAAAAAGCAAACTGAAATTAATTGTTTCCATTAAAGGTTGTGAATGAATCAGACTTTTTAAAACATGTTACTCAAATGATAGAGGACTATGAAGAGGACATCAGCAAGCAAATCAAGGCAAAAACTAGTGTAACTCTGTTATAAATTAGATGTTGTTCTTACTGTAATAAGTTCATTATAAAATGTAAAAAAAATACTGTATTTGTCATTAAAAGCAGTGTTTTCTAGTCTTTTTTTAATATGATTAAATAAATTAGTAAATTACTCATGGCGACTATATTTACCTTCAGCCCACTAGCCTTAGTCAAGTTTGGTTTTTGGTTCTTAGTAAGAGAGTTTGGGCACTCCTGGTTTAAAGGTATCATGAGATCAGTGTTATGGATTGAACTAAACTAGTGTATTAAAACACATTCATGATAAATAATTTCTTCTTTCTTCTGAAGGTTTTCCTCAACAGCGAGAGCAAAGATGTCTTCGCGCTTTCTGAAGATCTCTGTATTCATTCAGAAGTATCGGACACCGCTGCTCCTCATCGGCTGTGGAGGCGTCTTCTCGGCTAACGTCTTCTATCACATTTTCCCAGATCACACGTACAGAAAAGTGTACCAGGCCTGGCACAAAGGAGAACCTGCAAGCCTGTCTGAGAAGCTCCAGAACATCTTTCAGGAGGTGCTAAAAGATTCTTCAATCAGCACCTCTGGAAACTTCAGCGCGTTTGCGGCTTTCGGCTTTCATCCGGTGGGAGCAGGTGTCCCATGGCTTCCCTCTGGAGCACAAATCGGTATCCCAGCCAACTTCAACAGCAGCACCGCTGACCTGGAAGGCATCACTAACCGTACAATTCTCATTAATGGCAAAGAGCTGGAGTGGGACAGCGACTCTGGTGTAGCTCTCAAAAACTCACTGGTGTTCTCTCTGGAAGCACAGAAGTTTGCCATTGCCAGAGAAGTGGCCCGACTGGGGTCTGGAGGACCTATCTTGCACGCTGCAGTGGCTCCGGTATGTTTGGCTGGGGCTTGTGTCTATAGCGTGGCCCTCAAACAGATCTTCAGGTTCCAGGCCGGCTCCATAATCTTCAGAGGTGTTGTGAATCTGCTTTCTCTGGGTTTAGGAGTCATGACGTATGTCCTGGCTGCTGATTCTGTGAGCCAGTGGTTGGACTACCGCTCAGATCGTCGGGCTGCGGGTCTGTCTAGGGATTACGCAAAGGGTGGTTTAGAGTTTTATGAGAAGATCTTGACGCGGAACAAGACGCTGCGCTCTCTGATGGGCCAGAAAGGGGAAGAGATGTACGCCCCCAGCGGAAACCTGTTTCCTGCACACCTGCTGCAACTCAGACATGCTACTTACACATCTAGACGAGACAGGATTTTAAATCTACTGAAAAATGAGAATGTATGAACCACTTAAATGTATTCAAATCCATGTGGAAGTCATGATACTGTATGCACAGTGTTTTTGAAATAGTAATACAATACACACCACTGGATTCCATTGTTCTCATGCTTATGAATAAACAGCTAAAAACCTATTTCTAAGATGGTCTAGTCTAGGGCTGTACAATATATCGTTTTAGCATCGACATCGCAATGTGTGCATCCACAATAGTCACATTGCAGAAGATGCAATGTTGAGTTGTGACTAGAGTTGATTACAATCAGTGCAGAGTTTAGTTATAATGGAGAAAAAGTTTATCAGCTGCTTGCGTTTTAAAGAGATTGTTGACCCAAAAATTAAACATTATCACTATTTTTATTTCACCCTTCACTTGTTTCCTACGTTTATGAGTATCTTTTCTATGTTGAACACAAAGAGACGCTATTTTAATAACTCATAAATGTTTGAAAAAAGTAAAGGGTGAGTATATAGTCAGTAAATTTTCATTTTGGGTGAACTATCTCTTTAAGGCTTGTGACTTTATGAACATTTCAATATTTCAATTTAAAACATCCGGCCAGCAGAAATGATAATGTTTGTAACTTTAATATAGATTACATTATATACAATAAAGACTATGTAGTGTTTATTATTCAATATCTGAACCCGAATACTGTTAGCATTCTGACTCTCTAAAAATGTTTAACTCTCGTTTATCTTTACTATATTGTCTTTATGCTTGTAAGGTATTTGTTATATATTATTTGAGATTAAGTCCACTACAAAATCACTCTAAAGTCACTCTAAAAATAAGAATTCTTTCCTAAAAAAGCTGTATTCACATCACAATGTATATTGCAGAAATACAAAATATTCAAATGTTATATTTTTCAAATATCGTGCAGCCCTATTCTAGTCTACATTAGCAAAGAATTTTCTTGCTAATATTTTATTTATTCTGAGACTAAGAGTATATTAATCTGACATAGCCTGTAAACCCAACGTTTATTTAACATGGTCAGTAAGTTCATACTGCTAATAAAATAATATTGATAATAAGTAGTGCTTGGCAAAGCTCAATCACTTCAAAAATAAAAATTTATTTTCACATATGATTTGTGTGTATTATATATAAGTAACAAAAACAACTATGCAAAACTTTTTTTGTATAGATATTTAAAATGTTTTAAATAAATATATTTTATTTACATTATATACATATACATTTTTGTATCTAAATGTAAATAAAAATATACTTTAAAATAAGCGTGTATTTAAATATATAATAAAAATACAATGTGCACGCATAAATATTGTCTAAACAAACTTTTATTTTGAATGCGATTAATCTTTAAAGATTTAAATCTAGCACTAATAATAATGGTGCCGTTTCGGTTGTAAACTATCACAAACTACTATACATCACTTCATGAGCTGTTTAGCACTTCAACACAGAATAAAAACGTCAGCTACATGCTGAAACTGATAGAGCATCATTGCAAATGACTTACAATTTATCTTTTTTTTAGCTAAATATGTTGTCAAACGTGTTTTAATTCAGTTCGATTACATTTTAAAAGATTGATCAAAGTTACAATAAAAATTTGGGGACTCCGTAGAGTTAAATTGTCCAGCAAAGTTATGTGAGAGGTTTACATATAGGACATTTTCGTTTTATGTCATCATGTAGTATATTCATTCATTAGTCCCTTTATTAATCTGGGGTTGCCACAGTGAAATGAACTGCCAACTTATCCATCATATGTTTTACGCAGCGGATCCTCTTCCAGCTGTAACCTATCACTGTGAAACTGACCCAGAGGCTCGAACCAGCGACCTTCTTGCTGTGAGGCAACAGCACTACCTACTGCACCACCGCGTCGCCTCATTAGTATAATTAAAATGTATTTATTTTGTCTGTGTTTCACATCTAAGGTCCTGGAACGTAGTAAAACGCCAATATCGTGGCCGCATTCTACTACGTGACGCTTTCTGATGAAACACCTACGTAACCACAAAAAGTCTCAGTGCGAGCCAAAGGATGGATGCCAGAAAGATGTTTGAGAGGCAATCTTGCTGAAGCACTTTGGGTGTGGACTTTTCCCAGGCTTCACATAGTGCATCACTCATTTTCTAATGACATTGATAGTAGGTTTTACTTTGTGCGTATGGTAGTCCTCTCATGGTTCTCTGAACGCTGTTTTACTGTAAGCTTTTCCCTCCAGATTAAAGATTTTATCTCGAGTATATTTGAAGAGTTTAGATGCACAAAACTCTAAATGCCGTCTGAAATGTTCTTCTAAAATGAGCATTTTTATCTGAAAAATGGCAAATCTACAGCTCTGACAGACAGTAAAACATTTTCTTGTAAAATAGGTGTTTTTATCCACATATTGCCTGCGTAGGGTATAACTATATGCATAGTTTGTGTGTAAGCGGATTCCAACTTCAATTACACACCTGGGCTAGCTAATTAACCTCTTGCTAGACTTTCTAGAAACATCTTTGCAGGTGTTTTGTTGAGGCAAGTTGGAGCTAAAATCTGCAGGACACCGGCCCTCCAGAACCGAGTTTGGACACCCCTGAGATAGACAAATGTTTATGAATGTAAATCCATTCAAGAAATATGAACATTGTTTGGCCACACGATGTCACTGTTGTCTATATTAATTAACTATTTAACTCTTAACAGTATTCAGCTACAGAAATTCAATAATCACAATGTAAAAAATGCCTTTCTTTGTCTCACTTTAAGTACAAAAATCTAAAAAAATATTAGAAATAAAAAATTGTGTTTTGTTTTCTCCTTTATAAGAAATAAGTCAAAATCAAGACAGAATTTAAAACAAGCTAAATTATTTACCAATGGGGTGGGTAACAGTCTTATTTTCACTTTAAAGTGTTCATATTTGTACTGCAAACAAGACAAAAATTATATGTTTTTTTCCCCATTAATCATATAAATAATTAAATGCAATTAATCTTTGTTACACCTCCAAACATATTTTTGTGTGATCAAATCACTTACATTTCCTATGAAATACTCAGTCACATGCATTAAGAATACATGCAAAAGATAAATTTTGACTCTATGGTTAAACTCTTTAAAAAGGGACTCTAAATATCTTACTAAATGTCTTACTCTAAATGACTCCTGAACAACTATGATTCAGACTCAACAGTGCACATTTTGTTGAGATAAATAAACACACACTCCAAAATAAATAATGCATAAAAATGCATTTAAACATTGTAATTATTATAATGAGGATACTATATTACATAAATATGATCAAATTAGATTTAAATAAATAAATTACTCAAAATAATTTCGATGTATTATCTAACAAGTAAAAATTGCAACAAATACAAATTTGATTAAACTGGATAATAAAAATGTGCCTGAAATAATTGTGATTTTGTTGTAAATAAATGTAAAAAAAAATATATATACTGTGCCATGATAAGTAGAAACGTACATTAATGCAACTTAAAAAATTCTTTTGTTCAACTAAGTTTTAAACACATATATTTTTAAAGGATAAATGTGTGCATTTTTTCAAAGCAAGGTCTTTACAACAGACTACACAGGGTGCGAATTACAGGGGGTCTTTCTCCCTGAAGGACATCAAAACAAAATGTATACCCTTTAAATAGTTAAGCATTAGCTTGCTCTAATCTGTATCTTACAGTTTTTCTCAGTGGCTTTGGTGCATTTCTCACAACACTGTTTACATTTGCACAACAGTTAATGCATTTTTCAAAACAATTAGTCATTTGTGTAAATCATAGTAGCAGTTTCTCATTCCTTCCAACAAATTGAAAATGCTTTTGGACATGCATCAATGGCTTTCATACAACTCTCTGCTGTTTCATAATATCATCATTTGCTTATGTCAGTTTTTCAAAATTAACTAAACTTGTGAATACTGAATAGTCATTCCATATAAAACTAACAGTCCTCATTTCATCACTTGAGTCATTACATACAAAAATGTTGAATAGTTTTCCAAATCTGTCAAGCTAATTTTCTACAAAATCTTTAATATTTTTTTCCTGAAAATGTCTTCTAAATTGAACAATTTGATGAATGATTTACAGACCTGTGTATGTTGTAGGTTCAGTTCCGATATGTACTGCAATATTGTTTACAGTTGTGCACAGCTTTACACAAAGGAAGTTTATGTTTGTTGTAAATAAGGGTGTATTTATTATTTTGCACAATGCTGTGAATAAATTAGAATTGCAAAGAACATTAGCAGTAAAAATGTGAAACATACATATTCAGTGTCTTGTACTTAAATACCTCAGTAAATGCAGTGATGTGTAACTTTACTGTAGTTTTCAAATGGCTGTATATACTATATAATGCTGTCTTGAGCATTTTCAGGACGTGTCACCAAAATCTGACTTTTTGCATTGAAAAAATTGAACAGAGTCATAATGAAAGGATGACAAAGCCATCTTGTTCATAAACAATGGTGTCAGGACTTTTTATCTTGATGACACTGACACTTTCATTGACATGAATACTTGCGTTTGAGGAATGAGCTATCTATTTTGAGCAAGTAACACGCTTTTGCAGTTTATCAACTAGGTTTTGCAGTTTGTACTAATTGTTTTGAGAAACAAAACATGACTAAAAAAACTAAATATTATCAATAATTAAATAATAGATTACTTATATACATAGCCTATAATATATATATAATATAGTATTTTATTAATTTAGCCATTTTATCACACCCCTAAAATGGTTCATTCCATTGTGGATGCATGCTGGTGGCAGAAATCTTTATTCAGTTGTTTGACACTGGCAAATCTGCAGCTCAGACAGTTTTTACAAAACACTTTTTTGCTAAATAGGTGTTTTTTTATCCACGTGTAGCCTAAGTATGGTAAAACTAGAACCATATTTTGTATTTTATTATACACTTGCTCGCATGGGGATAAAATAATCATTAAGTGCAGTCTGTCATGATCATCCATTGACTGGTGCAAGAATGCAAACCTGTCACCGTTTGTTTAATATCACAAATATCATTGAGAACCACTCAAAACACTAAAATCTTAACAACAAGAATGATTCATAAATAATCAGATGTAATTGAATTAAACATTTACATTTGGTTCACTGAAGCATATTGCACAAACATCACCAAAGTATTTAACCCCCGATCGTCAATGTATAATTCGCAGCCTGACTACATACATGCATTTAAAAAATGGATTGGGGTCACTCGCACCAGGATTATCCTCCAATGTGATCTTTCAACGTAAATGCCCCGTGTCCAGCTTGTAAGTCCACCCCCGACCGCTGGTGGTGCTATGGAGAGACGTCGCGCCATATTACAATGTAACACTCAGCACTGCTGCTGCTGCTTCTCCGGCTACAATGTAACTGCATCGCGAACGGAGACACAGCTGAAAAAAGTCACCGATCAGATGAGTCGACCTCCGGAGAGGGAAATGCGTTTTTTTATTCTCCCGCAAGATCCCTTCTGCCGCCATAGTGGCCCGCTGACCGGATTGTAGTGTGTCGTCGCTGTGTGTCTGTCCGGGATCGAGTTTATGTGGATTATTGGACGCGGAGGCCCGTGGAGTTGAGTGAGTGAGTGAGTGAGTGTGTGAGTGTGTGTTGGGCTGGAGCGGGTCAGTATGAGGCTTCTGCTGCTGCTCTGAGCGGCTCTCCGCTCCTCTGCCTCGGCTTTCTTTACAAATAACATTCACTGAGAAAACTGGACACCCCTGGAGCTGTTTATGACGGTAAGAAAGGACATGCCACTTTGCTGAGGCTTTGGAATTAATGTAACTATCAAAATGTTGTCTCCTTTCCTGTGTTTAGCTACTTAAACGCACATTTCAAGTAATATTTTAGTCAGGAAAATAATCACTTCATGGAGAGTCATACCTTCGCTTTTCTTTCTTTTTTATCTAATACTTGAAGATTGTGCTGAAACTGCTTTTTTTGTAGCTTCAAACATTACAGTAAGTGTTTTGTTGACGCTTGTGGTGGGTTTAGCCAACACAACAGTGCTTTGAAGAGCGATAAACGCGGTCGCTTTTCATTTTGAGATGACTGTCTTCCGTTAAGATGCAAACTCTGAA